ACCCTAAACCCTAAACCCTTAGCATGAGCCCTCGCCTTCAGGACCTACACCTTCTCCATCTTGCCGCTCTTCCTCCTGCCTTTGCTGCCGCGCCAGAAGAGCAACGCTCAGGCACGCAAGTGGCTCGGCGCCGAGTTTATTTCCCCAAGGCTCTATATGGGAGCTTCCGAAAACAGGGGGTACCTTATTTTGGGGTCCTTATAATAAGGATCCTAGTATTTGGGGTGCTATATTAGGGTCCCCTATTTTCGGAAACCCCCCTATATGTACCCATTTAGCATCTACTTTGGCCCTTATAAGTACCCAGATTTCAAAAACCTAAACCCTAAACCTATATGCGGACTACTATAAGGCCTGAGGCCTAAGTAGAAAGCATTGCATCGGATTTTGCAATTATCGTGGTTTAGAGGTGTAGGGACCGTTTATAGTCTCCATGACACTGCATGCCTGGACCCTAGAAAAGCCATCGTTTTCGGCTTTGCTATCATGATTTCCTGAAATAAGTCCATGAAGCGGTTGGGTATTTGGGTCAAAGTAAGGCCTATATGGTCTCGTAGGGTGTCACTTGAGTGTTAATTAACGGGCCTGAGTCTGAGTATCTGCAGACATCGACTATCTTCTTCGCCGAAACCATATTCTAAGAAGTTTCTAGGTTCTACTTGTTTACCAACACAAGAACCCCTCAATAGCGCCCTTTGGTCCTTAATAGAGGGTAGTCGGGGGGTCCAGGCAGGGCTTAGAGTCCAATTGAAGTGAGGCGGGAATGGCCGCACAAGTCTTTCTTCGCAGTGGTGGCAGCCATTGCACCTCGCTCGGCATCAAGGGGTCAACATCTAAAGTTGGGTTGGCTGTCGCAGTGTCATATTCCAAGAGCACAAGAAGAGACACACACCGTCATGGAATGATGTACAATACTGCATGATACCTCGGTGACCGATAATGAAAAACCTAGTTATTTCCCGAACCCTAAACTTCAAGCGCGAACCAATGCATTAGTTGAGGGCGAGAGGATAAGGGCTGTGAACTATGTACATCAAACGACAACTAAACACCTACACCGTAAACCTTAAACCTTTAGTTTGAAGCGGTCTGGTTCATCTGGGGTGCGAGAGTCAATGGGAATTTCTAAGCATTCGGTGCCCCCTGAAAGCATCAAGTCAAATCAGTTCTGGACTTGGTGGCGCATGAAGTTGCTATCACCTCTTGCACCGAGCCTTACCCTTCCTATCCCTGAACAAACCCTAAACCCCTAAACCCTAAACCCTAAACCCTAAACCCCAAAACTCTAAACCCTAAAGTTCCCATCAAGTAGGTGTTGGGCATATCGCTGCTCTACACCTTGGTGGGTGACTTCTTCGTGCTGGTGTCATGGCTGCCTTGGCTGGCTGTAGTATGTGGGCAGTTTTCTGAACTGTGGTACCTTTTAGGGTCCTTTTACTAAGAGAGCCATACTTGTGTTGTTTCTTGCACGAAGAAGTAGCCACAGCTTGCTGTTGGAGAATACTCGCCGCCATTGATATGGTGTCCTTGGTTTAGTTGAGTCTTCTAGTCTTGCTGGCCTTCGGTCACAATGCTTGTGAGTGGTCGTGGTGGTAGTGACGACAGTGACTGTGACCGCGGCTGACAACACTTATTTTCATTATTATGAGGATTATGATTATGATGATTATCATCATGATTATTATGATGATGGTGATTATTTTCATTATTATCAATATTGGTTTCATTATCATTATTATTATATTATATTATTATTATTATTATTATTTTTATTTTTATTCTTCGTACTATTGAGTCACTAGTCACACGAATGCTCCTGCAAGGACCCCGACCTGGTCTGTGCCCGATTCGTAGGCGGCCCTGGCTGCAACCTGGCGAAAAAACTGTCTGACCCGATTCAGGACTGAGATTCCTGACTCTCCTTATAACTACCGTTACCCTACTTATAACCCGACTTAGGGTTTAGGGTTTAGGTGACTGAACCCTAAACCCCAAACCCCTAAACCCTAAAGCCCTAAACCCTAAACCCTAAATCTCCCTGATCTGATTTACTGTAGGGTTTATGGTTCATGATCTATGAGACTCAGCGCTGAGGTTCCAGGTTTTTTTTTTTTTTGTTTTTTGGTTTGGGGCGCGTGATTTAGGGCTTGCATCTCAGGACTGAGGGCCTTCACTGGGGTGAGGTGTTGAGGGGTCCTTTAAGGGGTTCCTTTAAAGGGCT